GAGAAGCAGCGTGCGAGTTTCGCCTGATTCCTACTCTTGCTTCCGAGTAGGCCATCACCCACTCAGCATCTGGACGTTCGGCGTTGGCCACATTAAAGACGGAAACAAGCACGGATTGAATGTGTTTGTGATGAAGATCGTTCATGTTGTCGGGTCGATAGTATAGGATTCCGTCAATGAGTTCGTAACACTCGCCGGGTCGATGTGGTAAGTTGAGATAGTCAGCAAACGTGCTCGGCGTGAGGTGTAAATGGCCGAATGAGGTGGAGGAAGCGTGCAAAGGCGACGGCAATAGTGACGGGGATGAAGGCGGAGAGATACATGGAGACAGAGATGATGACGAAGCTGGCAAAGAACACTGGGTCTGTGACGCAGGGACCGGGTCAGGGTTGAGTACGAAAGTTCCTGAAAACGTGAGGGGCGGGGAGCTCATGTCGCGAAGAAGGAGTGGCGCTGGTCTCAGAAGGCTTGTACAACTAGCACTATTTGAGGTAAACAAACCGGCCGGAGGGAGACAGTACGGGAGGAGTACGCCCCTGGCAGTTGTTTGCCTGGAGACTTACACATTCACATTCAATACTGTACAGTTGCAGTTGTTTGACTGGAGACTTTTCACATTAATTACAGGTGTTTGCCTGGAAACGTTTCACATTAGTTACAGTTGCTCATCGCATGTCCAATTTCGCGTTATGACAAAAATTCATTTTGTGTGCGCACAGTTTGGATTACTGTAGAACAAGGAGACAAATGACGAAATGCATGCCAGACTTTGTTCGGTACAGCACTATCCAAACACAGGTATGATCGGTCGTCGCACGATTAAAACATCATAGTGAAAAGAGTATTTTACTTTTCAAAACTACGCAAACTTTCTTCTTCATCTTCTGCTCCCCGTGTCACGAGGTACCGAGCGCTTAACATAGCTGAAAAGAGCGTGTCACCCCTGGTTATCTCCGTGGTGGAAAACAATTGAACTTGGAGCAAAGAAGCATCCCATGGATAAATCTCATCAGTTGACGGCACAAGGTCCTTCATCAATTGTACCTTATACCCTGTGCTGTCATGGAACACAGTGGCAAACGGAACGATGCCTGTAGCTCTTCGCAAGACTTTCACTTGCACAAGAACAAACGGCATGTCAAATTGTTGTTCATGAACTCGAACGTAACCATTATTCTCATTCTCATTATAGGATTTGAACAATTCTTCCAATGCCACACACCTCCTCCCAGTGGTCGCCATTCACCAGATTAGACACTTCGGCAAGTAGAAAAACAGGAGTTCCAACGGACTTTTGAAAAAAGTTTCGTCCCTTCTGAATCCTTCCTTCACAAGACTCGAATTTGATTTTCGGTCGCGGCGGCGTGTTCTATGCAAGTAACTCCGGGGAATCTGGAATACTACCGCAAAGCCGTGGCACATTCTGCGGGCAGAACGGGTTCCCTTGCCCAAAGATCCCATTTGCGAGGAATGCATGTCGTTTGTATCGCAGAATGTTTTCTTCCCAAACGAATTTCATCTCTTCGGTTGGTTCGGAAGACAACTTGGAGTTTCCACAATCGCAAATGCGCAACAACAGTACCGCCACTGCACCGTTGAGTGATCCAGTGCCAAACTTGAAGTAGTGCTTCCCCGAGTCAAACACAGCAAAGCCTCCGTCACGGACAAACGTAACCGGATCAGAAAGAGAAGGCCTCATAAATACGCTCACAGCCTCATCGCTGTAACAGGGGGGCTCTGCCAAAATCTCTTCCCGAGAAATACTTCCCAACTCCAAAAACCCAAACGTCTGTTGAGCATTCGACCTTGTAACTTGACCTTCACTTAGAATACCTCCCCTTGTCATAACAGAAATAACGGTACTGCATGAACAGTGCAGTGGACCCAGTACTGCGAAAAATGGTGTAAACGTACACTCGGAAGCTCGAAGACCTGAATATCGATTACTACAAATCTCGGACACAATGCCCTTGCGAACGACTTGAGAGACGTGAGATATTCCAATTGATCGGCGAGTCGTGAGCGTGCAGTCTCGTCGTTGAGCAACAGTTTCGAATGCAGAAACACACCCATTGGTATTTCAATTCGATCGACCACAGCTTGTATGCGGTTATCCTGTAAAACACGATGGACTCTTCGTAGCGGAAGCGACTCCCCTTCAACGACTACTTCTTCTCGAGTGTTTTCCTACGCCCATTTTCCTAGAACAAAATGAGAGTCGCGCACAGTTCTTGGAACAGAATCCGCCACAGACTCCCAACCCTCGTCTCCACAACGTCTATTTCTGCCAGCGCTGGAGTGCCAAGGTATGTGCTCAACGTTGATTTGCTCAGCAAAAGTAAACTTGTTCACGTCTAACCGCTGCTGCCCTTGCATTTCTTGGTGGAGACGACCTGGGCCTCTTATGAAATTGCAATCAGCTGAGTCCAGGAATGCTTGTCTAGAAAATTTTATGGACTGCCCGAAACGATCAGGACCGCTCTCGCTACGGTCTTGGATGATGGGTGAGTCAAGCACAGAACGAATACCACAAACGGGAGTGGACGGAGATGGAGACGACATTGTCTTCTAATGTGATAGCGGCGGCGGCGACGGTGGGGGGCGGCGGTGTATGTTCTCGAATGTTCTCGTACTCGGCTGAGAGAGAATGAGTGTGGAATGCGCAGATCGGGGTGAGGCAAACATTTACAACGACGCAGAGAAGGAAAAGCGACTCCCTCGGCCAGTATAAGTAAAGTATCTTTTCGTATCTGCATGTACCGTACCGTATGCGCGTATGCTCACCACACAACTGACTGGTTGTCAATTAATGTCCCCCCCTACAATCGAAACAAAATGCACCTGTCTCCTACTGTATCGATACAATATCATGTGTCCCCCCCTGACACCGAAAGATTTTGACCTTGTCCCCCTCCCAATCTCAGAATGACCCTTTAATTTAAATGCTTTGGCAAAAAAGGGAGCTGACCTCATACGAGGACAAGCCCCGGTCGGATAGGCACCAGAAAAAATGAAGGTCAGAGTGCTGTTGACAAGGATCACATGAACAGCCTCTACTGTAGCACAGTCTTTTTGAGTTTCAGACTGTGTAAAGTTTACCCTACCCTTCTGTAACTTACAGCACGCATTGAACAGGACACTACTCTACACAGCAGCATGGCACGGCCCTATATCTTACTCGTCTCGGCACCCCCTGTAGCAGCACACGGCCGAGCTCTGCGGGGGGGTTTGCCGGGCCGGGCGGTGAGCAGGGCGGGGCGCGCGGGCTCGGGTGCGGCGGCCGGCGCACGTGGCCGCGCGTGCTCAGCAGCAGGGCATGTCTAGAGCGGCGAGCGCCCCCCTGCCACGCGGGACGACACGCCGGCGGCCGGGCGCGCGTCCTCGCGCCATCCTCGCGCGCGATGGTCGGCGCGGGGGAGGTGGCGGCGGGACGCGGCGCGCCCCGTGGCGCTTGTACGACGGCGCTCGCGGTACAAGGCAGCGAGGCGGCGCTATCATAAAATGGGGGCGAGAAGGCGATACTGTAATGCGGGGCTCGCAGGGTGCAGCAGTGGAGGCGGCGTAAACGGGCTGGGCGAGCACAGGCGGCTGGAGGATGAGCGATTTACCTCACATGCGGGCTGTCCTTTTTTGCAAAATATAAATGTACAGTATGTTAAAGTGGAAATGTGGAATGTCATTTTTAGACCATTTCGTTCCAAATTTCGGGATACCCTGTACTGTAGCAATTCTGAATACCGTACACATCAACGGAGAAAGAATCTACTGTAGTGCGACCACAAGTACCAATCCGCTTTCTACACAGGCGGTTTAGTTGCAAAGGCAACAGCACATGACGTCTCAAGGTTTCTCAAAAAAGGTTGCTTGCGAAGGACTTCTGAAAGCGCCCGGAAAACATACATACAGCAATACTGTACAATCCTCACTACAGTATAATTTATCCTTCCTCACCGCAGGAATCTAGTGGCGTATCTTCCTCTTTTTTGAGAAAGTATGAGTCCAGAAAATAAAGTTGAAAAGCAACCTCGCAGTGCGGAAGGTCAATGGTCATCGACGCACACGCTGCACGGGCGACACGGGCGGCGTGCGGCGGCCGACAAGGTGTAAGTCCCGGCCACGCCATATGTTCGTATGTGAACACCACGTGCACATCAGCGGCAGTGGGGCTGATGCTGGCGGACTTGGGCCGGGCAGTATCCGTGCGCGTGCAGCTGAGCAGCGTACAAGTAGTGGCTGCGGGTGTCTGACCCCGGGGGGGGGGGGGGGGGGGCTCTTTCCCGCTAATTACGGGTGTTGCATGCCGGCGGTATTCGCAAAGCCATCCTTCTTGCGCTCTCCCCTACAAGTATTTATCAGAATCCCTGCCACATTCGCAAAAACAGACACGTTTCTACCCTCGTACAAAACTATTGAAGCGGTAGCATCCTGCCAGTGGATCTGCGCTTTAGCGGAGCATGCCATCTCCGGCCGCACCT